AGGAAACAAAAACAGTTTTGAGATCAGAGTTTGTTGCCTTCGGTTGGTCATAATATGTAGAAAGCCGGTTCCAAATTCGGGTCTTCCCCTTCAGAAGCCAGTAAATAATTTGCATTTCTATATTCCTCTATACTGTCAAACTGAGACTGAAAATACCGTAAAAATCATATTTAGAGCCAGTAAATAAATGAGACAATTTTAGATTTGCAACTCGGTGATAAGGGAAAGATTATACTAATGAGGATTAGTTATTCGTTCTTGTCTCACAGCGTATGCTTGCTACTGATGAAAGAATGAAGCCGTGGGACAGCAAGAAATTACTTACTATGCTTTAGAGGATTCAGAACCATAGATTGCTATCACATGTATGTAAATACGTAATGCCCTCCTCGTGATTCTTTTTTACTATTAATTCTATGACTTTTCCGTAGTTGAAAGGAAAGCCTACGAAAAGCAATATCTTACCAAAAAAGTGACTAAATCTATGCGATAATTTATTTTATTGTTGCACAATGGTTGCGCAAGTTTATATCTATTTACAGAGATGTAGGGTCCTTGCGTGACTCTCGATTTGTAATGATGTAGAATACCAATATTTTTGCAGAATTTTGAATTTATGTCGCAAATAGTACTGCACTTTCAAGGAAAATTCTTTTGCAGAACATCAGACAAGACGTGGGAAGATTGATCAGCATGGATAAAAAAAATACAGTTAATTTTCTAGATGGAAAAAAAGCAACTGAGATCATTGAGGATGTTATAAAAATGAGATTTTCATGGCAAATACTAGCCCGTGCATTCAATTCTCTTATCCAAATTGGTTCATAATACTGCCAGACACTGATTATAAGCAAAACTTTTCTTCAGCAATCTTGAGGGAAAATTTGTACCACTCAGATTCACTCAAGCGGCAAAGTTCGATACGAGTAGAGATATGAAAAAGATTGCTGTACTCAGCGCTAGGCTGCAATTCGTATCAATCCTTTTGTAGTTTCAAGGACAGAAATGGCGAGCAGTACACATATCGGAAAGGTTTTTCGTTAAAGTAAAACTGAATGCAGAACATGCTGAGAAATTTTCTTACAAGGGAAGGAAGGCTGGTCGAAGTGGCCTTTTGAGATG